AGCGAGGCCCACCTGAAGATCTACGAGTCTCTGACTGTCCCGGCGGAGGAGCTGGAGCCCGTGTGCCTCAGCGAGGCTGGGAAGGAGGCGCCGCTGTCCCCTGTGCCGCGGCCGGAGCCCTCCTCCCCGCACTATGAGCCTGTGGTGACCCGCAGTGGGAAGCGGCTGCTGGGCCCCCACCTGAAGATCTACGAGTCTCTGACTGTCCCGGCGGAGGAGCTGGAGCCCGTGTGCCTCAGCGAGGCTGGGAAGGAGGCGCCGCTGTCCCCTGTGCCGCGGCCGGAGCCCTCCTCCCCGCACTATGAGCCTGTGGTGACCCGCAGTGGGAAGCGGCTGCTGGGCCGCACCAACCAGGGTGCAGCTCTTCAAGATCGCCCAGCAGCAGCTGCTGCGATCGGCCCCGGTGAGAGACAGGCCCCGGGTCTCTGGGTGGGTCGGGGGAGGGGGGAAGGGTGGCAGCAGGCTGTATGCCGGGGGGTGGGGCCCTGTTAATGCTGACCTGTCAGCCCGCATTAATGGGGTTGGGGGTGGTCCTGGGCACTCTGCCTGGCCCTGGGAGGGTAGCAGGTTTCGCGGTTACCGCAGCGGGTGCTGGGAGCCAGGATTCCTGGTTTCCTAGTGCTCGTTCGTGTCCGTTCAGTGCGGGGTGGTTTCTCCCAAGCGGGATCCCTCGTGTTGGCTCTGGTGCCCCTGGAGCAGCTCGTCGCTCGCCCTGGGAGTGCGATCTGTGCCAATGGGCACTCTGCCTGGCCCTGGGAGGGTAGCAGGTTTCGCGGTTACCGCAGCGGGTGCTGGGAGCCAGGATTCCTGGTTTCCTAGTGCTCGTTCGTGTCCGTTCAGTGCGGGGTGGTTTCTCCCAAGCGGGATCCCTCGTGTTGGCTCTGGTGCCCCTGGAGCAGCTCGTCGCTCGCCCTGGGAGTGCGATCTGTGCCAAGCCCCGCTCAGCTGGGTGCGAGTGACCTGGCGCCATTGACTCCAGCCCTGGGCGGGCCAGTCGAACTGGCAGCACCATTGATGCCAGTGGCCTGTGGGTGGCTCAGAACCTGCCTGGCATGGCTGTCCCTGGACCAGCCTGAAGGCTGCTTGGGAGGCGGCCCCACCGCTGCAGGACTCCCTTGGGGGGGCCCTCCGTCCCCATTGGAAGGAGGTAGCTCCTTGGAGGACAGGGCTGGTCACACCAGGAGGCCCATGTACCAGCGACAGTGCAGGGCCTGACGGGGCTGTGGCGGGTGAGGCTGTACCCCTGACTCAGGACACTGCCACGCCCCCAGTGCTGCTCCCTCAGGCGGCTCAAGCTTTAACCTCCCGCCAGAGGAGGTGGCGAACTCCGCTTGGGGGCCAGTCCCTGTGGCCCTGCCCCTGGACAAGGGCCTTCTGCGGCCAGGGAGGGCCTCATGGCAGACCCTGGCTGCTCTCCAGTGTACGGCCAAGCGGGTGCAGGGCAAACGTCCCGAAGGGTTCCACAAATCTTTATGCTTCTCCGCCACTGGCCTCCTTGGTTGTGGTGCCGGCTCTGAGGAGGAGAGGCCGAGGCAGCAGGGCCCAAGGCCAGAGACAAGGTAGATTTGTGTTTCCTGGGGCAAAACTCCTCACAGGAAGGTCTCCAGGTTGTGGGCACGACCCGCCCACCGGGGTTCTGCCGTTGTGGAGTTCAGTTCCTGGCCGGTGGACTGGAAATCCCAGGAGCTCCTGCCCTCTGATGCCAGGTGTGACGGCGCATTGGGGGTCCCCCGTCTCCTGCACCCCGAAATGGCACAAACAGACTGCACCAGCCGGTGGAATAGAGGAAGTTTATTGCCTCTCCAGGATACAGCACAGATGTAATCTGGTCACAGAGCTGGGCTAGGATGCCTCAGGCCCCCTTGAGATGGGGGAGACTGGGCCCCTAAACTCCAGCCCCTTTCCCTAGGCTGTCTCCTCCATGCTCCCAGACAGCAACTAACCAACACTCTTCCAGCCCTGCCCCCCAGCTAGGGCAGCATTCCACCTTCCTTTGTTCCTCTCCATGGGGGGTGTCTGGCCATACTGGTTGAGAGATCCCTTTGCATAGTGACTCATCCTGTTTTGCTAGGTCGTGGTACCCACGGCAGCCAGTGAGGGTTACCCCAGAGCCAGCAGCATAGAAACCAGCCAGGTACCCCCACTACGTCATACCAGGGCAGGGCCAGAGCCAGGCTGCCCCTCCGTGAAGCCCTGGATGCTATGGCTAGGCAATGGCTACTGGGCGTCTCTGGCTTCAGTCAACGGGCCTCCCCTTGAGGTCCAGTCCCCTGTTCAGGGCCTCCTGTTCGAAGGGCGGTCAGGACACGCCGCCACCCTTGAAGATCCCGGGCCGACCTTGCAGTCTGTCTCAGGGCTGCTGGGTTAGTCGGTAACGTTAAGAGCGAGTCCTGTGGCAGATAGAGAAGCGTGAGCTTTGCTGGGTAGTGGCTCTCTGGAGCGCCACACTCCAGCCCTGCGCGGGAGCGTTTTCGGCTGCAGCTCGTGGGCTGGCCTTACAGTCCCACCAGACTCCAAACAGGCGATGGAGGGGACAGGTCCCTTGGTCCTTACAGCCGTGAAACAGTCGTCAGGCAACAGACAGCTTGAGGGGGCACCAACCCAGAACCCAGATCTCATCCCCCCGTTTGTGGGCTGTCTCCCACTTTTCCAGGCAGTGGAAGTGGGATCCGCCTTGCAGTGGGATCCTCTTCAGGGCCCCTTCTCATGAAATCTCCCGGCCCAGGAGGTGCGGGGTGGGGGGTGGGGGGGGAGCAGTAGAGAAGGTTCCCAGGGAACTAAGAGGCAAAGGGTTTAATTTTGCTGCTTCCTGATCCCATAGGTCAGTGAGGTGCTCAGGTCTAGTATAGGCCTTGCAGCCTCAACCAGCTGCTAAGGAGGCTGAAGTTCCTCATGTTCTGCCTGGCTGCGATTCCTCCATTCCCGGAGCCAGGGGATGCCCTGCTGCTCTCGGGCTGCCTGCTTCCGGGGCACAGAAGGCCCTTTGGTTTGTGCAAACGGGAGCCTCTCGTGTTTCCGCCCGTTGGCTGCCGGCAGCCCATGAGCGTCCCCAGGATGCTGGGCGCAGGCCTGGCCAACTGGCTGCCGAGGGTGGGGCCCAGGTGCTTGTGGGACACCTTGTGGAAACGGTGCCATCTGCTTTCCAGCGCCTGGCACTGCCAAGCGAGGGGCAGGCATGCCCCGGTCCTCGCCACGAGCAAAGCCTCCTTGCCGGAGGCCTGGCAGTGCCCCCTCGCACGGCAAACGGCTGCTGAAAGCTCCCGGGGCACGTGGCCTGCGCCTAGAGGTGAGAGTCTCAGGCATGGCCCTCTGCAGCTGCGAGCGTAGCCGACGTCACCCGCTATGCGGAGCAGTGCTCCCCGTCCCATCACCTTTCAGTGGGGCTGGGTTGAGACCTAGTCTGTGCAGCCTTTCCCTTGGCACGGCCCGCACCAGTGGCTGAGCTGGTCAGAGGCCCCACATAGGGCCAACCCTATGGGGTGTGGGCCCCGGGACAGCCCTCCTCTGCCCCAGGCTGCATCCTGCCTCTTTCCACCCCATTGCACCCCTTCCCCTGAACTCCGCCATGCCTCTTTCCAGCTTCTGCCCCCTCCCCATGGCTACTCACTGCCTGTGCTAAGCCCCCAAGCTGTCCTGATCCCTTGTCCCCCTGGAACGTGGGGTACCCCAAAGCACGGGGCCGTGCTGGTCTGTCCCATGGATGGGCTGGCTCTGGCCGCCTGAGGCCCTTTGGGGCACAGGGTCTCTGGACACACCTGCACGTGGAGCCAGGGAGCGAGGGGCAGCGTGTCCCGTCTGGCTTGTGTTCTGCCACACACCACAGCCATGTTCTGTGGGACACAGCTGGGAGCCTGGCCCTCTGCCCTGGCCTCGAAGCTGCTGCTTAGCCCATTCCCTTGGAAGCTGGCTCCTGGCCCGAGCAGGCCGCCCCAATTACCGCCCGGCCTTTCTGGAATGGGGACTTCCCTAGGAGACCTGTTTGCAGCCAGAATCAACAGGAAATGCCCCCAGTTCTGCTCCCGCATGCGGGGCTCTTGGCTGCTTTCCATGTGCCATGAGGGCTGTGCACCTTTCCTCCCACAGCCTCGGCCACAGGGCGCCTTGGGCTCCAAGGGACACAGCCCCATGGGTCTCCCAGCGCCAGCCTGCGGGCCTCATGATAAATGCACCAATGGGTCTTCCACTGCAGCCAGATCTGACCTCCCAGCCCTGTGGGTCTCCCAGCACCGGGCTGGCTGTGCCAGCCCTGCATCACTGCCTTGCTGGGCCTCTCGATAAATGCACCAGTTGGACTCCCAGTGCCCTGGTCTGCCAGCTCGGCGCCTTCATGGCTGTGTGAAATGGAGCCGTGTTTGAGTTCGACACCGGGGAGCCACTCAGCCGGAACAGCTGATCCAGCGACATGGACCCTGGGAGGAGGGCTGGGAAGCAAACCTCCTAGGATGTACTAACGGTAGCGCGGCGAGCAGGGTACGAGAAATCCTTCTCTACTCCGTGCTCATTCGGCCTCAGCTGGAGTGTTGTCAGGTCTGGGCGCCGCGTTTCAGGAACCATGTGGACAAATTGGAGAAGGTCCAGAGAAGAGCAACACAAATGATGAAAGGCCTAGAAGCTACGAGGGAAGCTGAAGGAATTGGGCTTGTTCAGTCTGGAGAAGAGAAGACTGAGGGGGGACACGGGAGCGGTTGTCAAGTATCTAAAAGGGTGTTACAAGGTGGAGGGAGCCAAATTGTTCTCCTTGGCCTCTGAGGATCGGACAAGAAGCAATGGGCGCTTTAGGTTGGACGTTAGGAAGAACTTCCTACCTGTCAGGGTGGTTAAGTACTGGAGTATAGGGCGGTTGTGGAGTCCCCATCATGGGAGATATTTAGAGCAGGCCCAGGAGACACCTGTCAGGGATGGTCTGTGCTTGGTCCTGCTGTGTGTAGGGATCTTTCTGCTGCTCTCTGTGGTGCTACCGTTTGATAGGGACGCCATTCGAGCTGCTAGCAACGCGTCCCTCATTTTATTTCTCCGGGAAAACCAGACCGCCTTTTGGGTGGCCTTCCCCTCTGACAGGAGAATGTTGGATCCGGGCCTTCACCTCCGAGCTGCCCTATGTCACCATCTTCTGGGACTAAGTTGAGGTGCATCCACTTCTGCCTTTCCTTCCGAAAGTGCCTTTCCACCCTAGTTGGGACACATCCAGTCCTCTCTCCTGACCCTCGTGGTGCTGGACAGGAGCAGAGGCTGCTGTGTGGGCGTTAGATGGAAAGAACCCTTCGGAAGGCCGCCCCGGAATGCCTTGCTGGTGCAGGGAGGATGAAAGGTGGCCCGGTCTCCTCCCTTTCCACCCTAGTTGGGACACATCCAGTCCTCTCTCCTGACCCTCGTGGTGCTGGACAGGAGCAGAGGCTGCTGTGTGGGCGTTAGATGGAAAGAACCCTTCGGAAGGCCGCCCCGGAATGCCTTGCTGGTGCAGGGAGGATCCCTGATAGTGCCCGGCTTCCGCACGCGCTGTGGCCCGTCCCCACCCCACCCCACTCCACTCCCACGCCGAACAGCGCACCCCACCACATGCACTCTGGCCCAGCCCCCACGCCGAACAGCGCACCCCACTGCGCGCGCTCTGGCCCGGCCCGGCCCCCACGCCGAACAGCGCACCCCAC